CCGTTTGATGAATATTGTCGTAGCCAAGGCATTAAACACCAAAAGACCGTCAAGAAAACTCCTCAACAAAATGGAGTCGCCGAGAGGATGAACCGCACTGTGGTGGAAAGGATGCGATGCATGCTTTCACATGCGAAATTGCCGAGGTCCTTTTGGGCGGAGGCAATGAGGACGGCGGTTGATTTGATTAATTTGTCTCCTTCGGTTCCTTTGAATGGCGATGTTCCAGAAAAATTTTGGTCGGGCAAGGATGTCACCTATGATCACTTGAGGGTTTTTGGTTGCCGAGCATTTGTTCACATTCCGAAAGATGAAAGGTCCAAGCTTGATGACAAGGCAAGACAATGTATTTTTCTTGGCTATGGGCATGAGGAATTTGGCTATAGATTGTGGGACCCGGTTGACAAGAAAATCATTCGGAGTAGAGATGTTGTCTTTCTTGAAGATCAAACAATTAAAGACTTTGACAAAGATGATCAACCGGAGGAAATTGTTAGTGATCTCGTTGATTTGGAGCCAACTCCTTCATCTTCTGTACATGGCGAAAATGAAGAGGATGTGCAGCCACCTTTGGAAGTTGGTGAAAATGTTGATGTTCCAAATGAAGTTGAATTGGAAAATGAGGGGGAGCAACCAATTCAAGAGCCACCACCGCAACCGGAGTTGAGGAGATCCGTTAGAGACAAGCAACCGTCAAGAAAGTACTCTCCCGATGAATTTGTGACGGTAACGGAACAGGGGGAGCCCGAGAGCTACCAAGAAGCCATCGAGCATGATAAGAAAGTTGAGTGGGCTAAGGCTATGCAAGATGAAATGAAGTCCTTGCTTGACAACCGCACTTACGATTTGGTGAAATTACCCAAGGGTAAGAAAGCTTTGAAAAACAAATGGGTTTACCGATTGAAGCATGATGGCAATAATTTGAGATACAAGGCACGCCTCGTGGTGAAAGGGTTTGGGCAGAAAAAAGGTATTGATTTTGATGAAATTTTTTCTCCCGTTGTGAAAATGTCCTCCATTCGTGTTGTTCTTGGTATGGCCGCAAGTTTGAATCTTGAGGTCGAACAACTTGATGTGAAAACCGCATTCCTTCACGATGATTTAGAGGAGGAGATTTATATGGAGCAACCCGAAGGCTTCAAAGAAAAAGGGAAGGAAAGCCTTGTTTGCAAATTGAAGAAAAGCTTGTATGGCTTAAAACAAGCTCCGAGGCAATGGTACAAGAAATTTGATTCTTTTATGATGGATCATGGTTATTCAAGAACCACTTCGGATCATTGTGTATTTGTGAAAAAGTTTCCGGATGGAAACTTTATTATTCTCTTGCTCTATGTCGATGATATGCTCATTGTGGGACAAGATTCTATGAAGATCAACGAGTTGAAGTCGGAGTTGAGTAAGGCTTTCGCTATGAAAAATTTGGGACCGGCAAAGCAAATTTTGGGCATGAAAATTACTCGTGATCGAAAGAAGGGGCTGATTTGGTTGTCTCAAGAAAGTTACGTTGAAAAAATTATTGAGAGGTTCAATATGGATAAAGCGAAGCCCGTTAGTTGTCCGCTTGCGAACCACTTCAAGCTTAGTTCGAAACAATGTCCTACAAATGGAAAAGACAAGGCGGAGATGGAAAAATTTCCCTATGCTTCAGCGGTTGGTTCTTTGATGTATGCTATGGTTTGTACTCGGCCGGATTTAGCTCATGCGGTTGGAGTTGTTAGTCGGTTTCTTTCAAATCCGGGCAAAGAACATTGGGCAGCTGTGAAATGGATTCTCAGGTATCTCCGGGGTACTTCTAGAGTTTGTTTGTGTTTCGGAAATGGTAAAGCTGTGTTGGATGGGTTCACGGATGCCGACATGGCGGGTGATGTTGATTCTCGGAAGTCCACTTCGGGATATTTGATGACATTTGCAGGGGGAGCTGTCAATTGGCAATCAAGATTGCAAAAATGTGTCGCTCTATCGACTAGGGAAGCGGAGTTCATCGCAATTACCAAAGCTTGCAAGGAGTTGTTGTGGTTGAAGAAATTCTTGCAAGAGTAGGGTTTGAATCAAGAGAGGTATGTTCTCTTTTGTGATAGTCAAAGTGCAATGCATTTGAGCAAGAATTCCACTTTCCATTCTCGATCGAAGCACATAGATGTTAGATACCATTGGATACGGGACACGCTTGATATGAAATTGTTGCAACTTGAGAAAATCCACACAGATGATAATCCTTCGGATATGATGACTAAAACTTTGTCTAAGGACAAACATGATAAATTTCGAGCTTTGTCGGGTTTGGTCGATGCTTCCACATAAGTCGGGAAGGGGGAGAATGTTGGGTTCCCTCCTTAGTGGAAGCCCAATATTTTGTTAGCCCAATAACAATTGTGCTTGGCCCAACAGAGTATTAATTTGTGTGGGCTAATTTTTGGTAGAACTTTCTACACATTGGTGGCACATGTTTGGCACATGATTTGTTGGGATTAGAAAAGCTTCTTTTGGAAGCTGAAAAGAGATTAAGTCTCCTGGGAAACTATTGCATCGGTGGTGTTTTTTTGTTCTTCTCCAGAAAAGAAAACGGAGGGGCTCGTGTGTTCATCAGAGAGATAGTGCTTCGTGTGTCTGTGTATTCGGTGGAAAGAAAAGTCAAGCTTTGGTCTCCTAATCTCAGCACCTCGTCCGTCAACATCTGCGGCTGTTTTGTGCTCTGTCTTTGGCTCTCAGTTCAGCAGCAGATTTTGGAAGGTGTTTTGGTTCATCAATATTGGTGAGGTCTCTCCTCTTGGTTGTTGTATTTGTTGGATACACCTTAGGGTGTTTGTGAGATCTTTGCATCTCTTTGTAAACCCATTTGTAAGAACATTTGTTGATAGTGGAATCGGACTCCGGTCCCGTGGACGTACCTCACACTTTGGGGGAACCACGTAAAAATTCCTTGTGTTCGCTTGGTTTGTGGTTTGCGCTTTTGGACTGTTATTTGCAGCAGTTTTCATTATTTCCTTCGTGATTTACTTGTGGGAAATTCCGCATTTTTTTCCCAACATAATCGAGTCCACTCTTCATTGCAATTCAATTCATCTCTTGGGTTTTCTCACTCGGGTCCCTCTCTCCCTCTCTCTCCAACCACGGTGGTTATGGAGGATTTGGTGGCGGTGGTGGTGGCCTCAGTGGTTACGGAGGATTTGGGGATGCAGGGACAATTTGGGAAGTTCATCGATATTTGTTAGGTTATGTATAGCAAATTGTTATAAGATTCGTGGGTTAGGTTTAGAATATGCTATGTTTAAAAAATTTGTGGTTGTGAATAGTTGGCCCCTTATGAAAATTTGTTTTTGTTTTTGGACCAAAATCAACATGGATAATCCTCTACGCAGATGAACAGTACAAAAGCAAACCTACTACAAACTACAAAAAGAATCAATTCCGCCAAGTCTCATATTATCCTCTATGTATGTAAAAATACGATTAGGACTCTTATGACTACCACCAAACAACCTGGAATTTCTCTCAAACCATATGTAATATATCCCACAGAAAGCTTGAATAGAACTCTGAAAAAAAAGTTGAGTGAACACTCTCATTGACAAATAAATGTAGCAAAACAATAGTTACTCATCTCAATTGTTCTCCAATTGAGAATTATTGGATATATTTTCCACTAAAATCTTCATTCAATAGGAAGTTGTATCTTTTTTTTTTTTTAAATTTCTAGGGATTGGCCAAGTGCTCTTAGCCTAGGATTTAGGCCCCGTTTCGAAATGTAAAAAAAATCCTTATTCTTTAAGAAGACAATTTTAAGTTAAAAAATAATGGACTTATTAAAATTTAAAAATATGCAATGTGGATTTTATTTGAAAGATCTCGATGAGATCTTTTATACGGTGTAAAAAAAAAAAGCAAAAAATATTTTTCATTTACACTATTTTTGAGTTTGAAAATGTGAAATAAGTACATATTTTTTAAGAAGGTGTTTTGAAAGGCCCCGTTTCGGAACACGAAATAAGTACTTATTTTTTAAGAAGGTAATTTCAAGCTTAAAAATAATGTGTTTACGCAAATAATTTTTTTAGCAATATAGATCATGTTTAATAGTCTCGTTCTGCTAAAGTTTTTTTTTTTTTTTTTAATAAGTTTTAGGCACCCTAACTTTTTTTAAATTTTTTTTTTTGGGTACGTCGGAAATTTCATAGGCACCCTAACTTTTGCTTAACTTTGGCGCGACACATATGCTGCTACTCCACCGTTTCAAAACCGAAATCCCCACTCATCAGTCGTAGTGAAACAAACATCCTTTCACCTTCCTTCTTCTCCAAGAATCTCACTAAACTCCCTTAAAATCTCGCAACTTTTTTATTACACCGTTGTAATCTCTCTCTCTCTCTCTCTCTCTCTCAAATTCAAACAATGGGACATCAAGTGAACCCCAAAGACGCCCTATCCAAACCCTCCTCTATCGGCTCCTCCGTGATCCCTATCATCAACAAGCTCCAAGACATCTTCGCCCCAATCAATGGCGGTGGCGAACTTCACTCGAGGGTCCAGTTGCCTCAGGTGGCGGTCGTCGGGAGCCAGAGCAGCGGCAAGTCCAGTGTGCTCGAGGCGCTCGTCGGCCGCGACTTCCTCCCCCGCGGCTGCGACATATGCACGCGCAGGCCGCTGGTTTTGCAGCTGGAGAACCAGCCGGCCGAGGAGAGGGAGTGGGGCGAGTTCCGGCACTTGCCTGGGAAACGGTTCTACGACTTCTCGCAGATTCGAAGAGAAATTCAGGTATCTTTTGAAAGTGATTTAGCTTTCTTCTTCTTCTTCTTCTTCTATTTTTTTTTTTTTTTAAAATTAGCGGAAGTTAATGTTACTGGAATAGTTAAATTTAACACCTTAGAGAGGAGTTGAAACTCCTAGCACTTTGATTTAGCATTTTGTTTGTTATATATTGGGACCAATTCCACCGCCCACTTGCATTGGTCCTAATTAAAGCCAGAGCAAAGCGGTGCATGGACTGGCCCCAAAGAGGTGATAGCACCTAAAAGGTTTCGAACCTGACAGATTGGGAGGGAACAAATCTCTAAATCCCAAGCCTTGACCACTAGGCTAATCCCTGACCTCTTTACCCCTGGCACTTAAGTGATTTAGCATTTGTTAGTTTGTGTTGAGCTTAAATTATTAATTCTGAGTAAAACCACTCTAAACTCGCTTCAGTCTTGACAGAAAGTCATATCAGATTCAAAGAGAAATTCAGGTAATTATTGAAAATGATTTAGCTTCTAATTTTGATCAGTGAAAGTTAGTATGGTTAGAATAGTTTGATTAACTAAGAGCATCTCCAACCGTTAACTCTTTTGACCGACTCAAAACCAAATTCTGAGTTACACCACTCTAAAGTCAGTTTAGGCTTTGACTGAAAGTCATATCAGATTGATCTTTAGTCAATTTTTTCACCAAATCAAGGCAACCTTAAATTTTTACTCAAAAGTTTTGATATCTTGTTTTGCATAATTTACAACTATGCCTTTTACTCAAATTTGTGCTTACATTTGGGTTTAGCTATTGGAACACTTCATCCCAAATGAAGCTTTTGCTCAATTTTTTTTAATTCAAATTTGAGCGAGGTCCGGAGATGCTCTTACCTGTTTAAATTAAGTTTGTCGAATTTGGTGGTGCTTTCCTTTATAGTTTTCTGGAAGTCTTCTGAAATAAATATTATGTTGACCTTGTTTTGATATGTAGTTTTTGGAGATTTTTTCAGAGAAGTTGTTTTTTGTTATTTCACGTTCTGTGAATCATTTTGGTGAAATGATAGATAAAGTATCAACAAAACAAAAAACAATTCTGAGATAGTATTCTGAGAACGATTTTCGGAAAGAAAAGTAACCAAACAAGGATTAAATTTAGTACTCAATGTTTCAGATAAACAATTGATTAGGCTATCATATTATCTTGCCAATGTGAGGCTGGAATCCTAAAATTCTCAAGCAACAAATGCAAGTGAAGGTTCATGACAGCTGCAATTGAGTTTCAAAATTCAAGGTAAATGACTTACGTGAGGCAGACTGTTCGACCAGGGTTATAAAATGGCCTAGTCCAACAACTCTTTGGTCTGGAGCGAGTAACTACCGGGATTTATAGGAATGATAACCCGTGAAGCATTGGGTAGGGGTATTGGATACAGATGCATTATAACAAGGATACGGCATACCAAAAACTCTAAAAACAATGCAATACGAGCGGCTTGGATTCATCTTAAAGGATATATAATATGCGCTATTGGTACTGCATCACAAACACACAAGAATGGTGAGAAATCATTTTCTACTGCAAAACATCAAACTTTAGAACCTAGGAATCAGTTTAGAAGCCTTCTTCATTTTTCTAAATTGGACAAATATTTCTTTTATCAAGCTTAGACGGCTTGTATTGATTGATGATCTATGAATAAGGCATATGATACTTTTCAATAACCCAAGCTTAGAAGGCTTATACTGATTGATGATCAATTGACAAGGATATGATACGCACCTATACACTTGGAAAACGCAAGAATTCTCAAACTTTTGAAAAATGATGGTATTTTTCTTCTCTAAGAAAGTGGTGAACTATTAAAAATCTATTATCTTAATGTTTCAAACAGTCATACTCCAGTGGTACATAATAAATGCTACATTTTGTTTATTAAGCATAAGGAGTATCATATGACATCAGGAGGGGCTGAGCCTTGTAGTTGTACACAATAAGTACAATGGTAGTGATTTTCGCACTCCCTTTTTTGGTAAATGCACTCCATTTTTTGTCGTTTAGTGAACCTTTAGTGTTTAATTTTTTCACTTAAAGACAAGAAGTGGAGTGCATTTATCAAAAAAGGGAGTGTGAAAATTATTTACCTAAATACAAATGAAGAAAAATGCGATAAGAAGACTTATGCCAGGACGTATGTGTTTCGTGTATGTGAAAGTAGACAGGCTCGTCTCAATTGTCTCCCAAGTGTGCGACATAAGCCTAGTTATATAACTAAAAAAAGAAGTGAAAGTGTGCCTGCTTATGAGAAGATGAAAAAAAGGGACATTTTTTATGCAACACGTGTTGGGGCATAGGGGACAACTGTTGTTTATTTCAGTGTGCCATTTGGATGTGCCCTTATGGATATATTAACTTTTGCTGTAGAAATTTACTTGCATAGGAAATGTAGGAGCTTAGGGCGGAGATCAATTTCTTCGTGGCATTGTCCAAACTTTCAACTTAATTGTGAATCTGTACTGATCTATCTTACAGAAACCCAAATGATCAGAAATTCAGTACGCAAGCAGAAAGCAAAAGATTCATGTAGAGAAAGCTCCAATTGGTAATTTTGCTCTGAAAAAAAAAAGGTCTTGTAGAGTAAGTGTATGATTCATCGAAGAATGGCGATGAGGAGCGTAGCAAACAGCTTTACTTGGCTGGATTTTTCAGAGCAAGCGGAGACAATTCTGTTTATGTTGCGGCCATCTTTGTCTACTCTTCCAAGAGCTAGGATATCATTTTTCTTTGTTTTGTGGTGCAGGACAGTCGGGAACAAGATAGAAAAAGTAACCTAGGCATCCCCAGGCATAAGGACCTCTAGACATTCCCGTGCCTAATGAAGTGATTTTGTACCCCTACCCATACCATACTCCATATCGTACTCATTTTATTTATCCCATTGAAACACTGTGTCCAGAGTAGTTTTTTAAAATGGTTCCAACAGATAGGGATAACGTACAATAAAAATCAGTCCTAATAAAACACAAAGCAAATCTTAATAACATGCAAGAGAGATTCTAAAAAGTAAGTGAAACTGATTGATCTGATCCTCATGCAATCCTTCTTGTACGCCATCATTTTGGGTATATACATTGATTTATCATCGGAGACTTGACCAGGCACCTCGTGATTGTGTTATGGTCTTATGAATATGATGGCTAGGGAACTGGGTAGAAGAAAAGAAAAGAATTTTAGGCATGAAGTAACTATTCAATTAGCCAAAAGACATAGTTTTACCGTCTTCTGTAATGGATGAAAGACAAAAAAGATCAAAACAACCGAAAATCAGCCAGTAAGCCTGGAATGTCACCGGAATGGAATTGAGCTCTGACTGTACCATTTTGTTGTCCGTACATACTGATCAGCCGCTATGACATGAGATTGACAACCCTGTGCAGGACTGTATTTATTGCCTACATGAATCATGAGCCCCTTCATATATTTCCTGATTGCAAATTAACACCATTATGCATTACAGAATTCTATGTATCTTTTTTAACATGCTCATGCTTTATTGTATTAATCTATTGTTCTTTAATTTTTGTATGCGGTGTGGGTAATTGAACTGCTAAACTGGTACTTGCATGAATCATTTACTTCTTGTTATTAGTTTTGTTTTCTGGTAGAAAGGAATAATTTTTGTGAGCCTACTTTTTTTCCCTGCCCCCTGCAGGCTGAGACTGAAAGAGAAGTTGGATACAACAAAGGAGTTTCAGACAAACAAATTCGCCTAAAGATTTCATCTTCAAAGGTTCTTAATATCACTCTTGTGGATCTACCTGGGATAACTAAGGTTCCTGTGGGAGATCAACCCAGTGATATAGAAGCGAGGATTAGGAAGATGATAATGGCTTATATAGAGCAAGAAGCCTGTATCATATTAGCAGTTAGTCCTGCAAATTCTGATCTGGCAACATCTGATGCACTGCAGATGGCTAAAGAGGCAGATCCAACTGGTAGGTTTTCAATGTTGCGTCTTTAATGAAAGGATTTGGAATGGGTTCGATCATTTTTTTTCTCTTTGAATTAGGCCAAAACAGATATTTTCATGTTATAGATTTTGATCTTTATCTGTGCTGGTTCATTGACTTTAACAGGTTCCCGGACAATTGGAGTAATTACTAAGGTTAGAATTCTAGAATGCTAGATATTTTCATGTTATAGTTTGCCTCTTTTCAGCTCTTACAAATTAGTTGCATTGAGTTATATGATATAGTGACATTAACTGTTACTATTTTTTACAAATAATGTAGCTGGATATAATGGACCGGGGAACGAATGCGCGCAACTTTCTGCTTGGAAACGTTGTTCCACTTCGCCTAGGTTATGTTGGTGTTGTAAATCGCAGTCAGGAGGTAAACTGTTAAGTTTATTTCTGGAATATCAATCCTCCTATGGGGTGCATTTGTGTTTCTCTGTTTGCTGCATCCACTCTTCTTTGACGAGCAAGATACACTCACTTGAACCTACCACTCTAAATTGGGGATGACATGAGATGCAACTCATGCTAATAACTGGTGGCTAGATCAAGATGAATGTTGATCTGGTACCAGATAGTCGCCACACTGTTCACCAGAATTTACCACATTTATCACTAGAATATTATTGGTGTTCATTTTTCTACAGCCACTTACATGGTATTGACACCACTACTACCGTAGTCTGTATTCTGTAACTGTCAAGTTAAATCTATGAAGAATTTTTCAGGATGGGTTTCGTTAATTCATAGCACGTTCAATATGGGCTTTCCATCCTGGAGTGTGTGCAATGGAATACATGAGAAAGCATTTTGCCCTCTCAAGTTGGCAGCTTCACCTATTTGTCTGACATTAAAAAGTCAATTGAAATTAAGGGTACTTTATCATCTGATTGGCAGTGAGTCAGTATTAAAATAGGTTTTGAGCAACTTCTGCTGCTTCTCCTACTTCTTTCCTTAAAATCGGAAAATGGAGAGAACAAAAGTGATAGCTCAGACCCGCCCAACCCATGATTGAGAATATTGCCTCCGTTCAAATAACTTACCAAAGTAGATAGATAAACTTCTAATTGAACTGTAGAATTGGAGGGCTGGATTGTTTAAAATTGAGCTTATTGTTTAGAAAACAATGTTCTAAAGCCTCGTTTGATAACAGTGATAGATAGATGGGATTCGTAAGGAGATGGGATTAGGATTGGGATTCGTAAGGAGATGGGATTGGTAATGAGAAGGGATTGATAATGAGTATGTTTGTTTGGGATGTGATTAGATGATGGGATTATTAATATCATGTTTGTTTGAGATGGGATTAGATGATGGGATTGGATTGTTAGAAGAAATTGGTAATG